GCAAGGAACAGAAACGCTATGGTCTTCTCTTCACCTGTCTGTGTTCCAGAGCAGTTCACATCGAGATGTTGGAAGACATGACGACAGATACGTTCATCAATGCCTTACGATGTTTCATAGCCATCCGAGGTGCCGTAAGACACATCAGATCAGGTCAAGGATCGAACTTTGTTGGAGCTAGAAACGAAATGGAAAGAGCTCTGAAAGAAGTCAACCAAGAGAGAGTAGCTGCCTTTCTTGCAGATAAGCAGTGTGACTTCCGTATGAACGTACCTGACGCAAGTCACGTTGGAGGAGTATGGGAACGGCAGATCAGGACGRTGAGAAGTGTTCTTACCTCAGTTCTAGCTCAGAGCACTGGGAGGCTGGATGACTCGTCCCTAAGGACATTTTTCTATGAAGCGATGTCCATTGTAAATAATCGACCCTTAACAGTCAACACAATCAGTGATCCCAACAGCYTGGAGCCCTTAACACCCAACCATCTCCTAACTATGAAGTCAGCTGTTCCTCTGCCCCCACCTGGCAAGTTTGTTAAGGAAGATCTTTATACCAGGAAAAGATGGAGGCGAGTTCAATATCTTTCTGAGCAGTTTTGGAACAGATGGAGAAKAGAGTATCTTGCCAACATCACTCTCAGGCAAAGATGGCATGCCCCTCGACGTAATGTGCAAGCAGGAGACATTGTAATCCTTAAGGAGGAAGAAGTCCCTCGCAACAGATGGAAGCTTGCCAAAGTTMWTCAAGCATGTGAAGATGATGATGGACTGGTCAGAAAGGCCATCATTCAAGTGGGAGAGAGGATGTTAGGAAAGAAGGGTGAACGCCTCAACAAGCTAACTATTYTAGAACGGCCTATCCAAAAGTTGGTTGTTATTGTAAGAAGCAGCTAAACTTGTGTTCAGTACGTAACTGTCMCTWATGACTCATGTAAGAAGTTCTTTGATGCTTTAGAAATTACCATTGATTATCAATACAAAGTGTTATGCATTGTGCTTTCCTTTGGTTATTAATAACAAGGTAATTTGGTGAGAGTGTAACGGGCCTCACCCGCAATTTGTTTAGATGTTACCATGGCAACCATGTAGTTCGTGAGCTGCCGTTTTTCCAGGGTAAAAAGGTAATAATTTCTTTAGACATTTTGAATGTGGAGTTTGTTAGATATTGGCAATATGTTCTTAGAATTGTATATTGTTTATTTGAGAGAAGAAA